AAAGCAGAAAATAAAATAGAACTAGAATAAATAAGTGAGCATAATGAATCCTAGAAACAAAAAAAACTATAGATGAAATATAGTAAAACAGCATAGGTATAGAGCTAGAACTACTACTGAGAATTGTGATAAAATAAGCTAGAGCTAGAAGAGAATATTTAAGTAGAACAGCAGAAAAGAGGCAAATCTATATAGAGTTAGAATAAAGAAAATTCAAAAACAATAGAGCTAGACTTTGGCTAATTTAGAGCTTAAATAAGAATCCAATACTATAGAGCTTCAATAAAATAGTATTTTAAGTAATGTATAGTAAAAATTATTAAAAACTTTATTTTTGTTGTATTATAGAGCTAGCTAGAGTCTCGAAATCGTTTAAAATCGATTGTGGCAAGAAACGCAACGAAAATATCTCTTCGTAACGAGAACAAAGAACCGGAAACAATTATTATTATTAGATTCGTGCCTTTTGCCAATTTCATCGGGATGGAATCGTGTCTGAAATGACTCGAATCGTACATTAGGACGTGTTTATTACATCAGGATTGATATATAAATTAGGGTTGGGGTTTGGCTAGATCAAAAGTTACTTTGTGTTGCTTGTAAACTAATAACAGAGACAATAAAACACAACGATAAAATAATAGTGGTTTTGGTTTTGGTTTTACACCTTTGAGATTATTTAACAAAAGTAAAATTCCTGAAATTGAAAAATTAGTTTTTTCAAGGCCAATGAAGGAAACAAATTTAAATTTACAAATATGGTTTTTATTTTTTATCACCAAACGATTTATTTTTATTGCCAAATAAAGAATTAAATCATTTCTGCGTTTATTTGTAGAAATTATCCAAATATTGTCAATTTGTTGGTAACAGTAATTTTTTATCGCCAACTAAGAATACACTTTTTTGTTATACTAAAGGGGAAAAAGGATATGAATTTTTCAAAGCCAATTGAGGAAAAAAAATTAAATTTATCATTTTTAAATTGAAAGCTTTAATCTGCATTTTTTTGGAATCTACTGAGAAAGAAAATGTCTAATTTTTCGTGGCTAATTGGAAAAATTAATTTAAATTTATTATTTTTGCGTCTTTTTCAAAGCAAATTCGAATTGAGTTAAAACAGTTTTTTTTTTGGCCAATCGGTGAGGTTTTTGCAAAATCTTGAATTTGATTGGTTGGACCATTTGGTCCGATTACGAATAATAATGATTTCCCATTCGCCTAATTCCCACTATCGTGAGGACAAACCGGTTTTCATTTCTTATTGGCCAAAATCCGACAAAAACCTAGCAACGATAAGTAACTCCACCCATTTAAAAATCGTGAATAATTATTGAATTCTGATCGAATTTTTATAACAAATCGGTGTTTAGTGTGAATTATCTCACTTTAATTGGATCTAATTTTGCACAATCGGTGGAGCCAACCCCACTTACGATTATTAGACCAATAAAAAGTAAAAAAATCTTTAATGCGTTAAAGTTGAGTGTTATTGTTCGATCCTTAGCCAATCAATTACGTCTTTTAAAATCAACCAATCAAGCTTTAGATGTTTCGACAAAAAAAATATTAAAATTTTTTTGATTTTGTTGTCAATATAAAAAATAATTATTCAAGTATAAATTTTAATTAATTTTCTTTATTGTCTGTCAAATATCTAAACTGTCAAAATCTGTATATTTAGCACATTTATTGTGAACTAAAATTTGTACTTTGCACAATTTTTGATCAAAAAACATCGATTCGATTTGTTTTTTACAATTAGTGCAAAACTTCAAAATAGTTCAAAAAAAGAAGTCAAATTGTCACACAAAAAATATTTTTTTTGTTTTTTTTTGCCAGCGTTGGCTCACTTAGAATGAATTACTGCCAAGATTAAAAAAATTTGAACAAAATCGCTTAATAAATAATGAAGTTAAAGCAATTTTGTAGTTAGGGTGCTAAGCTAGCCCCAAAATTTACAAATAAGGGCTAAAATCCCTTGTTAAATTTTCGAAAAAATTTCAAAAATACATAATTTGGCAGATTGGTTCTTTATGTACAATCAGACCAAAATTTAGAACAATTTGAACCATATCAGGGCCGTAATGGACAATTTTCTGATTCCAATTGGTCCAAAAAAATCAAATTTTTAAACAAAAGACAATTTTTTGTGTTTTTTGCCGGCAGAATAAATTACAGAAACATTAAAAATTTCAAGAATATCGATTATGAAGTTAATTTTGTTTCTTGGAGTACTAAGCTAGCGCCAAAAGTTACAAATGAGGGCTAAAACCGCTTGCCAAATTTTTCAAAAAAATTTTAAAAGTACAAAATTCGACAGATTGGTTCCTTATGTACAATCAGGCCAGAATTTAGAACAATTTGAACCATATCTGGGCCGTAATGGACAATTTTCTGATTCAAAATGCTCAAAAAAAATTCAAATTCACAAACAAAAGACCAGTTTTTGTGTTTTTTGCTAGCGGAATAAATTAGAGAAACATTAAAAATTTCAAGAAAATCGATTAATTAAGTTATTTTTTTTCTTGGAGCACTAAGCTAGCCACAAAATTTACAATTTTGGATTTCTAGCAATTCTAGAATCATAAATATATTTTTTAATTTTTAGTGTCGAAATATTATTAAATATTTTAAGACGTCCACAGCAAGGTACTAGTTTTTTGGACATTTTGGGGTCTAACAATTCTAGCTTTCTTATCTAATCTTGTTTTAGTTTAAATTCTATATTCTAAAATGTGATTAAAAATTAAAAAAAAATCGATTAAGGACTATTTTTTACTTTCCTTATTTTAATAGGATAAGTGTGTGTGTGTGTCTGTCTGTCTGTAAACAGCATATCTCGAGTACGATAAAAGCCAGAAATTTGA